GGTGTCTGACGGGGGAGAGGCGACTCACCTGGCCTGAATGTTTGCTGAGCTGCGGAACATACCTGCTCCTTGGGTCTGTGCCTGGAGCAGTTGGGATGGGAGGAGGGAGCTCTTGGAGAGACGGTTCCAGGAAGCTAGGAGCCTGCCCTCCCCTCCCTGTCTCCAGGACCGATAACAGGTGCACTGTCTCCCAGAACACCTTACTGACCCCCAACAAATAGTGGGGGTTCCTAAGCCAGCAGCCTTACAGACAGGTCTTCTGCCTAGTGGGGGCTCCCAGAACCAAGGTCAGGGGGGTCACAGGCTTCCCGCTTTGAAAGGAGGAGGGTACTGCCAACAGGAGGCCCGTGGCGATGTTTGGGCCAGAACGCCCTTCCTCTGTGGAGGGGGCCACCAGCCCTCCCCCCAACAGGGTCTGGAATTGGGCCCGCTCCTCACCAGAGGGCTCCCCCTCCTCGTCCCCCCAAACCAGAGCCTTCCAAAGTTGCCCGCTGGACGCCTTCAGGTCAGAAGGTAGCCGTCTAACTCGCTGCCACTAGATGGCGACCCTGTAAAGGCAAAGCCACGGGCACAGGCCGCCGCCACGCCGGGCCGCCTAAGGCCCCGGGAACCGCGGACCGCGGACCTTCTTCGCCCAGGCGGGGTGCCTCGAGGGATCAGGACTAGCGAGGCTGAGTAAAGGGGCGCGGCTTTCCTGTCCGCCAGCCCAGGGATGGGGGCAGGGGCGGTTCCGGAGGGCAGTTCCTCCCCTGGCCAAGGGCAGGGGACCCGACCCCGACTCCCTCCCCGGGGCCGCAGGCTGTGCGCAGAAGCAAGTGGCACTTCGCCGCGGGATGGGGCACCTGTTGGGACAAGGACTTGAGCCTTGAGGGAGGGGAAGAGAACACCCGCCGGAGGGCCGGGGGCCTCGGAGGCACAGCCCCCGGGCTCAAGGCCACGGCCAAGGGGGCGCCGGTGCGCAGGGAGCAGCGCGCGAGCCGCAGGATCCGAAGGCAATTAATTCAGCGTCTCGAAATGCACTTGGCAGCTCGCGGAACTGCTGCGCGGGCCACAGCCCCAAAGCCAAGGTTCTGCGTGCGGATGAGTGTAATGAGGCGCGAACAGGGCATTGTTAGCGACATTTCTGCAACACGATTAGACCTCAGCTAACGTCAGTGCGCTCTGCCCCGCGAATATGCGGGCCCAGGGGCCGGAGCCTCTGCCCAGGACGCCGGGTGGGGGCGCTCCCGGGCCGTCGGTGCCGCCTGTGGGTCATCGACAGAGAAAGAATGAGGGTGGGCGGGGCTTCAGAGACACTTGCTCCCTTCGTGGGTTCCAAAGCCAAACCAACGGATGTACGGATGTTAAAAAAAAAAAAAGGCTGTATTTTTATTCCATTCAAAATGGAAATAGTTTTAGTTCTACAGGAAACTGCTTATTCTTACAACACTCACTGTATTAACTCCACTTTTTAAAAAACAAGTATTTAAGTATACTCAAAAAGTGCTTAGAAGCACGTACTAGTATAATATACCAAACTTAAAGAAAAGTTGTTTTAAAAATGTATACATTGTTTGCATGAAAACAGCCTATGTATTAGTTTTGTAATTAGAGCACCTGTGTTTATTTTTGTCAATTTGGGGTTTTTCCTTCAGGTGGAGCTGTTTTCCATCCCTTGTCCCTTGCAGGTCCTGCTACCCTTATGGAGAGGGCTAATGCAGACACAGCAGTTAGGGCAGGGTTATTACTGAGATGTCATTCTCCTCCAGAAGTTAATCTCTGGGCCAGCACTGGCTTTTCTTTTCTTTAAAAATATATTTTTATTGATTTCAGAGAGGAAGGGAGAGGGAGAGAGAGATAGAAACATCAATGATGAGAGGGAATCATTGATCGGCTGCCTCCTCCACACCCCCTACTGGTGATGGAGCCCACAACCTGGGCATGTGCCCTTGACCAGAATCAAACCTGGGACCCTACAGTCCGAAGGCCGCTGCTCTATCCACTGAGCAACACCAGCCAGGGCCAGGGCTGGCTTTTCTTGACTGCAGATTGTGGTTCCGTCAGGAAGTGCTAAACAGGTTTGCCCTTTTACTCTCAGAGCTGGTACCCAGGCACTTGCCTTTGTGATGAGTGGGGCCTGGTGGTCTCTCACCCAGGAACCAAGAGGCTGGGCTCCCATCCACACCTCTCGGTAAACGCACGCAGGCACTCATTCTGCATGCACTTCTGCCCCTTTATCTTGGAGATGTTTCAGATCAGCAGAGGCAGATGCACTCTGTTCCTTTTAAAGGGCTGCTTTCACTCTTCCCAGGTATGTATGGCAAACATTTGCTCTTCTTTCTTGACCAGCAGCCGGTCCCCTTTCTTCCGGCAGCAGGAGCCTGTATCTCCCCACTCTCAGTCCCATGTTTTGGGAGGGGGTGACCCTGAGCCAACTCCAGGCATGGACCTATGACTCAGACCTTTACCACAGTCATCGGTTCAGGGATGGACACAGGGACAGGGTAGGGACAATGCAGTCAGGGCCAGGACTGACCTATGAAGGGAATAGGAGCTCTCTTCTGCAGGCTCTGCACCTGGGAAGGGGCAGTCCTGGGCACTTTCCATTAAATGGAATCTGAGAATGAAGGCAAAGTGGAGAAGAGCAGAGACAAATTATGAGAGAGCCAGTGCCTGTCTTGATGACATAGTTTAAGAGTCTGGTTCAGCTTATACCTGGAGCCCTCCCTCTCCACCCTGAATTTTCAGTTACATGAGCCAGTGTGTGCAGGGCTTTCTGTGAGTACCCTGCGGAGAGTCCTGGTACAGAAACTGGCATCAAGAATGGGGGCTTGCTAGTGACCACGGAATACAGAATTGACTGAAGAGCATTGTCCTGATATGCCAAGGTTGAGGGTTCAATCCCCAGCCAGGACATATACAAGAATCAACCCATGAATACATTAGTAGGTGGAACAAGGGAATGCTATTTCTCTCTCTCTCTCTCTCTCTCTCTCTCTCTCATCAATCAGTAAATAAAAATTAGAAAATAAGAGAATTGACTGAGCCAACTCAAGGTGGAGACCCATCTCCTCTTGGCTACAAATTGGCCATCCTTGTTATGCGGCCTTGAAGCAACGAATTACATTGTTGTTCCTCAGACTAAGCGTTTTTCAGCGCTGGGAATTAGGAGGCTAAGTAAAAGCTGATGAGCTTTCCTGCTCTTCAGTAAGATCAGACACGAAGGAAATGAACAGGAGATTCTGACGTTGGTACTACGACGTGGATGCAACTTGAAGACATTATGCTAAGTTAAATGTCAGTCACAAGAAGAAAAATACTGGATTATTCTACTTATAAGCATTATCTAGACTAGTCAAATTCACAGGGAAAGAAAGTAGGGCAGAGGCTGCCAGGGGCTGGGGGAGATGGGAATAGGGAGCCGTTACTTAATGGGTACAGAGCCCCCATTTTGCAGTTCAGGAGATGGATGGTGGTGATGGCTGTACAACACCGTATACTTAAAAATGGTGAAGGTGGAAAATTTTATGTTATGGATAATTTCCTACAAGTTAAAAAGCACATACGCAGAAGGAAGAAAATACAGTTTTTTTTTCACAGAGGTCCTTTCTTTCTGCCGTGGCCTGCAGTCCAACATGGCTGAGTCTGGTCAAGCCACAGTGGAGAAGCTGAATTTTCTTCAATGAGCTGAAGTTACGGAGAGCAAAGGCTGAGGGGCAGAAACCAGGAAGAGAGGAGGTGGGATCAGGAGAATAATGACATTATCCATGTATGAACTCTACATATATGAATTTGCCACTCTTAACAACCCTCCGAGGACGGTGCTGGTTTACAGATGAGGCTAAGAAAGGCCTGAGGAAGTTAAATAAACAAAGGGGCAGAGCCAGGGCTGTGACGGGGGCAGTCAGTGGCTCTGTTACTACACCACTGCATTGGGGAGCAAAGGCCTGACATCCTAAGGGAATTGCATAGTTAGAGGCCTGGGCTCTGGCTCCAAAGGCTGGTGTTGGCTTCCTGCAGCTCCTGCTGCCCCCTTCCCGCACCCCACACACCCCCCCCACCCCCCCCCCCCCGCCCCCCGCAGCAGCTGTGCCTCAGCCCGGGTGCAGAAAAGTGGACGTGGGATTGAAAAGCTGCCACGCTGCCCACCCGTGTCTCACTCTCAGCCTTTAACTCCCATGGACTCCCTTCCTGAGGACAATCTGGGAGCAGTTGGGGGGAACACTGGCTATGCAAAATGATTTGCTGCTTCCAAGATTTTTCACCACAATCCTCTTCAATATGCGTAAGTCCAGGAACTGACAAGCCCACGCTCATTCCCTGGGCCACAGTGTCACTGGCGACGTGTCTCCCAGTTGGCTCCGAGACTGGGACATCTCTTGGCCAACGTGTTTTGATGACACTCCTTATTTCTGCTTCAAACAATCTATTTCTGCGCACTGCTTGGGGTCCCAAATACGGGCTGAGTATAAAGATTGGGCTGCGCATGAGAGAGATTCGGAGTCGTCACCTGGCCTGAGAAGGGGCTGATGGGAACCAGCAGAGGACGAATCACATCCCCAGGAACGTGTGGCAAAAAGGACGGGACAGAGGAGCGGTCCTTCCCTGCTGGGGAGACATATTCTAGCAAGACGAGCCACGGTCCAGAGAGAAGCACAGGTGAACTTGACAGAGGACGGCTTCGCCCCAGTGGAGAGGCATTCCTTCAATAGATGGGCCCACTCCCCGTTCCACAAAAAGGACAGTGTAGGAAGAAGGACCTTGCAGACCCCGTGGCTCCCAGCTGAGTAGTGAGTCATACTGTGATACTCACGCGCACTTGGCAATGAGAATTTGACTGTTGACAGCCAAGAACAGGCTCTGTGAAGGAGACTATGCCAAACTACAACCGCCTAATAAAATATATTCTACTACCAGCACTTAGGTTTTCTTCTCCTTGTCGTGGTTTCATAATTTTTCCACTTTATTCAATTATGGGCAGTAAAGTGATTTATCGTTGTTATTACAAATCGTCTCTTTCTAGCCCTCTTCTGCCAAGAGCTGAGACCTCCTGGTGCCCACGGTCATGTGCAGTTTGGTTGCAGGTTTCAGGTGAGTTCATTGACTCCCGGGGTGTGCCAGTCTAGGGGAGAGGGGGTGGCAATGCGACCTTGTAAACCCAGCCCAAAGGAATGAGCTGAGGAGCCCATAACCTGTATGTAGGTTAAGGCCTCATCCACAGGGAGATACTTTCCTGACACCCTCCCAGCTCAGCGCCTGCTCATCCCCATAACAACCCCCTCCCTCCCTCACCTAACGAGCAGTGGGCATGTTCCCTTCCTGGTGGGGGAAGCAGGCCAGCTCATGGAGGCCTGGCTATATGGGGGTGTTTGACTTTGAGGTTCTCATCCACTGACCGTTTTCCCCAAGGGCTGTGACATCTTGTGCTCAACTGGGTCCCTGACACTCTGACATCGAATGCATTGTCAGCGGTAGCTCAGAGATGGACGGCATCCTGCAGGTGTCTGCGTGTATTGTGGTTGCCTGCTTTTTGGTGTTACATGGTGTTTTCTATTAAAAATGTGAATTATTTGCCAGCATTAAAAATCACAAAGTTTCACATAACGCAGATTTCCAACTCCTTTGGAAAACGAGGCAGTGCTGCTAAAGTGGAGCAGCATTCCCGCTTGGCAGTGACCGCCGGCCCCAGCGAGGGGCCTCCTCAGCCCCCACCCATGGGATCTACTCCTTCCTGTGACCTGGTCCCTGGAGATTGGAGTTTACAACTCTGTGCCCTCCAAGTTCAGTTGACACTAACAATCTTCCCAAACTGCTCAGGGCCCACAGGGAAATGATGAAGAGCTTGGGTCTACTCACCAAACTTGGCAGGCGGCAGGAGAATGTATTGTAATAAAATGTGTTTGTCTCTCTACATATTTCCTAATTGTAAGCAAGTCACCAGGCTTTGTATCACTTTGCCTAAAGGACCTGGGAGTGTGTGTGTGTGTGTGTAGGGGGGGAGAGGGGGCGGGGGGGGGGCGCAGAGAGCAAAGCAGCCTGAAATTGAAGCTGATCTGTACTAAAAACCTAGGCCCACTGAAGAGATGACAGGGCGTCCTGCAGAGGGAGGAGGTGGGAGGGGGCCTTGGGGAAGTGGGGACGTGAGAGGGGGAGCCCCTGCCTGGGAAGGCCTGAGAGGTTGGGGCTCCTCCCGGGCAGTAGGGCCCACCTCCACTCCATGGTAGCCCCTGGAGGTGGCCACAGGACAGTGTGGCCAGGAGGGCAGGACTCTGGCCCCAGAATCTCAGCACCATCCAAGACCCCATATCCCATGAAAGGCAGGAAGCAGGACCTGTGGGCTCCGAGGGACATGCTGATTTGACAATAGGTGTCATCCATGACTTCTCTCTTAAGGCGTGGGGGTTCTCATGCAACCTGGGAAGGGCAGGGACCCTCAAAATGGACTGAGGTGAACGGAATGGAGGACTGACACAGGCTACAGCAAGGATGACCCTGGAGAACATGCCAAGTGAAGAAGCCAGTCACAAAAGACCACATACTGTGTGATCCCACTTTTATGAATGTCCAGCATAAGCAAAGCCATAAAGCCAATAAGGGCATGGATGACAGGCTACAGCAAGGACGACCCTGGAGAACATGCCAAGTGAAGAAGCCAGTCGCAAAAAACCACATACTGTGTGATCCCACTTTTATGAATGTCCAGCATAAGCAAAGCCATAGAGACAGGAAGTAGACTAGTGGTTGCCAGGGGCTGGAGGAGAGGGGATGGGGAGGGACTGCCTGGTGGGCGCTGGGTTTCTTTTAGGGTGATGGAAACATTCTGGACTTAGATAGTGGTGATGGTTGCACGACATGGTGAGCCACATTGGAAGACACTGCAATGCGACTTCAAAATAGTTAAAGTGGTGCATTTTGTTATATAAATTTTATCACAATCAAAACATTTTTAAAAATCTGAGATGGGATTTTCTATCACCAAATGGGATGGTGACCTAAAGTTAGAATTAAGTTGATTTAAAAGAAGAAAAGGTGCCCTAGCTGGCTTGGCTCCGCGGACTAAAGGGTCATGGGTTTGATTCCGGTCAAGGGCACGTACCTTGGTTGCAGGCTCCATCCCTGGCCCCAGTCGGGGGAGGTGTGGGGTGTGGGGTGTGGGGGAGGTGTGGGAGGCAACCAATTGATGTGTCTCTCTCACATCAATGTTTCTCTCTCCCTTCCACTCTCTCTAAAAATCAATGGAAAAATATCCTTGGGTGAGGATATTAATAAAAAAGGGGGGAAAAAGACTAGAAAAAGGAATGTTGGTATTTTTCCTTTGAATGAATGAATTCTTATTACCCAACTCTAAGAAAAGGAGACTGAGTCAATATCCTGAGACAAGGTCACACGGGTTTACCTGGGATGGAGCCATCTAGAGAAAGGGACATGAGGTGCGTCGGAAAGTGGTGAAAAACAATGCCCAGGGCACAAAGGGAAGGGTGGTGCTGGCCAGGGAAAGCGTGAGCTATTCCCAGACCTCTGCTTCTTAAGCTGGGAGAGCGTACCCCAATTCTGGTCAAGTATCTGTTAGGCCTCCTTACCAGTTATGTGATCTGGGGTTCCCTGGGGAATTTTTGGTGTCTCATGGAAGAACCAAAGGATCTGATAGCAGAGGATTTGGTTCCCACTCCACCCTTGTCAGACGAAACCGAGTGCCCACAGGTGGGCAGCACACCCTGCTTGCTCCTAGGATACAGCGGCCACAGCCTTGCCACCCATATGCCCGAGGAGGGCCAGCTCAAAAACTCTGTGCTCTCTCAGAGGCAGGGCAGGGTGCCTGGGGGGGGGGGGTTTTTCCCCCCTTGGTGACTGCAGCAGCCCCTTCGATTTACTAGTAGACAGCCCCGATTGCCATTGTCTTAGTTGGGGTTTCACCAGAGCAGACCCTGGCCTGGGGATTGAGTGCAAGTAGTTTGTCTGGGAAGTGATCCCAGGAAGCTTTGGTGGGAGCAGGGGAGCCAAAAAGGGCACGTGAGGACTCTGGGAGCTGAGTCCTTACCGCTGATCAGGTCCTCAGGGCTGCGGATCGGCCCCTGGGGTGCTGCTAAGGTCAGGGCCACCGCCAGGGCTTTGGTACTACGTGTGTTACTGCTTAGCTCCACTGGTTACTGCAGGAGCCTCCTCCCTGTCCTGCCACCCCCCCCCCCCCCCCCCCAGCCTGGACCTGATACCACAGTTGCTGTTTCTGAAGCATGTGGCGATCAGGACATGCCCTGCTCCAATGCCTTTGATGCTTCCGTATGTCGATGTGACCACATCTGGAGCTTTAGGTCTTGTGTTCCAACCAGGCAGTGGGTAGAGGCAGGGGATATAGCAGAGGCTGCCCTCACACAGCTGACCATCTGGCTGGGGAGACGAGCAGTGACAACAGGGTGTGGTCTGGGCTATGGTCAGAAAGGGAGAGGGTATCCTAGGAACCCAAAGGAGAGGTGCCAGACAGTCTTGAGTCACAGAAGCTTTTGATGTAGAAACTGTTGGTTGAGCATGGGATCCCTTCTCCCCTCCTTGCTTAACAGATCTCCTGCATTTGGGGGAGTGGCAATGACTCTCGCTGAACACCACCACACTCCCCAGACTTCCTGGCTGATAGAAGCGGTCAGTGAGCGATAAGAGGAAGTCACAGGGTTTCCAGAAAAGCTCTCTAAAGGAGCCCTTTCTCCTTCCTACTTCCTGCAATTTCAATTTGGTACCAGGTGTGATGGCTGGAACTACAGTGGCCATAGTGTGACTATGAGGGAATCTTGAAGATGGATGTACATGCTAGGGATGATGAGCAGAAAGAGAGGAGCCTGGGTCCCTGAAGACCTCTGAGCACTCAACTCAGTCCTGAACTGACCACCTCCAGATATATATATTTCAGAGAGGAAGGGAGAGGGAGAGATTGAAACATCAGTGATGAGAGAGAATCATTGGTCAGCTGCCTCCTCCCCGCCCCTCACTGGGGATTGAGCCTGCAACCCAGGCTCGTGCCCTTGACAGGAATTAAACCCAGGACCCTTCAGTCCACAGACGGATGCTCCATCCACTGAGCCAAACCAGCCAGGGCCAGACTTCTTTTATGTTGGTCAGCTGCCTCCTCCACGCCCCTCACTGGGGATTGAGCCTGCAACCCAGGCACGTGCCCTTGACAGGAATTAAACCCAGGACCCTTCAGTCCACAGACGGATGTTCCATCCACTGAGCCAAACCAGCCAGCGCCAGACTTCTTTTATGAGAGAAAAAGTAAACTTTCTACTTTAGCCGCTGTTACTGGGGTTTTCTCTTATTGTCTGCTGCACCTAATCTGAGTGAATGCAGTGTCCTAGGATGTGCAATCTGCAGCATTAGCGGAAGTTAGAGAGGCAAACGGGGATTCCAGGGGCTGCAGAGAGGGGTTGAGAAGGCCAAAGAGGAAATGTGTTTCGGACAGAGGGGAGAGTGTTCAAAGGCCTGGAGGAAAGACAGAACAGAGTGGGGTGTGTCTGGGGCCAGCAGAGAAGGGGTAGAGGAGATGAAGCCTGAAATGCCAGCAGGACTAGGACCCTGAGGGACTTTGCAGCCTGGTAACCCACAGGCAGAGGGAGCCCAGACGACTGGTGAGGTTTTCACTTTAGGAAGATCCCTTGGTGCCCAGACAGAGGGGCTGGATTTGAGGGAGGAAGAGTTGACGACACCTTACGAGGCTGCTGCTGTGGTCAGGTAAGAGATGGAATTGGTTTGTACTCGGCCAGTGGCTGTAGGAACAGAAAGAAATGGGCCGACCAGACTTTAAAAGGGAGAATTCCTCACTGTTGATGGGTGGTTGGATGTGCGGGGAGAGAGCAGGAGGAGCTGAGGACCAGGAGCCACAGATGAGATAGGAAACAGGTGAGAAGTTCAGGGCTGGAGGCCTGCAGCTGGAGGTGAGGCTGAGCCGGGAGAGACGGGGGTGGGGAAGGAGCCCTGGCCTGGGCGCATGAGAGCGGCCACCCGCACACTTGATGGTGCCGCCTTCAGAATTGCCCTTGGCCTCTTTAATTCCAGTTCTCAACCTAAACTGGGGCTGTCGTCCGCTAATTTATTTATTTTTATTATTTTTAAAAATATGTATTTTTATTAATTTCAGAGAGGAAGGGAGAGGGGAGAGATAGAAACATCAATGATGAGAGAGAACCATTGATTAGCTGCCTCCTGCACACTCCGCACTGGGGATCGCCCGAAACCCGAAACCCGGGCAAGTGTCCTTGACATGAATCAAACCCGGGACCCTGCAGTCTGCAGGCCGGCGCTCTATCCACTGAGCCAAACCGGCGAGGGCTCGTCAGCGAATTCATAAAAGTTCCTGGCGCTCAGTGCAATGTTACCGAGTCTGAAGTGTTGCTCCCCGGTTCCCCTCCAACCCCCGCACTCCCGGTGCTCCCCGATTCTGTCTTTTCCTCTGAAAAGGGTCGGGGCCATGTCCCAGCCGCGCCCTCTGCTCAGGCGCCGGGACAGCCCGGAGGAAAGCCCCTCATCTTAGAGCCGCACCGCGGCGGCCCCGAAACTTCTTGTTCTTTTTGATGGAGCCGAACGGGAAGGAGGCGGGGGCGGGGCTGGCTGAGAAGCCAGGTGTCCCGGGTTAGAATCCTCGCTCCCCGTTGGTAGCACCTGGTCTCCGGCCGCGGCCAGGCTGCGGGCGGGGGTGTCACTGCTCCTCGCCTCCTCCCCA